CTGCCCGAAACCGCAGCTGACACAAAACAAACATAGATTATATATATAGCGTATTCATGCCGTTGTGCATCACTCCAAAGGGTGGCACAACAGCAGTTGTAGTTTAGTGGTTAGAATTCCACGTTGTGGCCGTGGAGACCCGGGCTCGAATCCCGGCAACTGCAAAGCCTTTTAGTGGTCCAAACAATTTTTTTTAAATCGCGTACTATTGTACAGGCATCCCTCGTTATAGTAAGAACAGAGATTATATAAATAGCTCTTCAGGTGCCGCCCCCCCCCAAAAGGCACACACAAAAATCATCACAAGTTCGACCATTACAGACGCAGGCCCATTAAACCCCTTGCACAACGTTTAACGGTGGATCACCAAAGTGGACGGTGCATCTATATATCAGGGTTGCTGGCAACAGCCTTGGCAGATGGCAACGCAGGTTTTGCAGTTTTGTTGGTCCAGTGCGTGCACTAGACCAGAGATCACTGCTGTGAAACAATATGTCAAGTACATTTCACAACCTGCTGCTGCACAAACGCCTGGCAGTTGTGCAAACTGCTAGGAGTCAGCATGCAGGCAACCGCACCCAATGTGAGTGCGCAACACACTTGCAATAATGCATGTAGTATAGAGGGACTATACTAGAATATACAGCCGCCAACAGTCAAGAGGCTGCCCCTTGTAACAAAAACTCACGGTTTCGGGTACCAGTGCTGCAGGGCGGCGGGTACCGTCACCGCCTGCCGCTGCTGTGTTGCCACGGCGCGCTTGGCCGCCACCTGCTGCAGCGGTTTACTATCGGTGCGGCGCAGTTTCCAAACCCCGCGGACACCAGGGTCTGGCGGCACACGCCGCTGTGGCCCGGCAGTGACCCGACCGTGAGCATCAGCTATCAGCAGCAAGCTGATGGCCTAAAAGCGTTCCTGCTGCTGGCCAACATCGTCATCGTCAAGGTGGGGCCGCCGTGGGGCCAGGGCCCAGCGCGTCAGGCTGCACCTTCATCAAGCACACGCACGTGCATTTCGCATTGTGTGCGCGCATGCGTGCCCTGCAGCGCACGAGTGCTTGCTGGTGCATGGGCGCACTCGCCTGCACCTCAAGCGGAGCGTACAGTCGACTTGCACACACACACGCACACACAACACACACACACACACAAACACACACACACACAACACACACACACACACACAAATACACACACATATCATCCATAATGTTCACACACTCCAGGTGACGCATGCTTTCCGGATGTTTGCGGCGCGCAACCTGGACGAGCAGGGCTGTGACGATGGGGTGAGAATGCTGACTAGGGCCCGACCTGTGTGAACAAGCGCAATTGTGGCTTCTGGCTCCTTGCCTTACAGCAGTGCATACCAGCACACAAGTGCTCATGCCGCACATCACGGTGCGCAGCTGTTCCTCCATTATCACCCCGCCTCTTCACGCCCACTGTCTTCTTTGACCCCATGCTTTACCGCAGCTCATCGCGCGGCTGGGCCGCTGGCTGCGCACAGCGCTGTCGCTGAGCTACCTCAAGTTCTTCAAGCCTGAGGGCCTGCTGGCAGCCGGCGGCTGGGTCAAGGACAACCCAGCATCCTTCTTCGCTGAGCGCTTCTGCATCGCTGTCTCGGACAGCCTCATCCTCATCGTATTCCCCTTCCTAGCTGCGCTGCGCAACCAGGTGCGGTGTTGTGGTCGCAAGGAGATTGCTGCCAAGTTCTTGCTGGGTTGATCCCTGGATTATCACCCCAAAGGACTAACAAGCATGCGCGGGCTCTTTCCATGTGCACACCGCATAGGTGGCAGCGATGGGACCGCGGCCCCCACCGTCAGTGCTCGCCCTGCCCAAGGTGCTGGCGTACCTGGCTCAGGTGGTGGTGCAGGACGCGTGCGAGCTGCTGAGCAGCGAGGAGACAGATGTGCGGGCGGCCGCCGAGGCGAATTCCATCCACAGGTTTCTGCTGCAGCACCAGGAGTTCAGGTGAGGTCTAGCAAGGGGGTATAAACCATGCATGGATGTACAGTTGAGGCAGGAAGCGAGGTGCTTTGAAGTGAATCACATCCAATGCCCCCAGGGCCGGGCCCAGCCCAAAAAGGGTTCCGGGTGGTGATTGTACAATCTTGCTGCAACCCCCACACCAGGGACGTGCTGACGCAGCACCAGGAGAAGCTCAAGGCTGGCGCATATGACTACCTGCGGCCGGTGAGCACCCGCGAGCACGTCCAGCAGCTGCGCACAGAGCTGGCTGGCGTGCGGACAATGATGGAGCAGCAGCAGGTGCAGCAGCAGGTACAGCAGCAGCTGATGATCAACCAGCTGCAGCTGCAGGTGCAGCGGCCGCCGCGCTCGCTGGATGATGAGGCGCAGGAGCAGCAGCGGGCGTTTGACGCAATCCAGGCGGCGGCCGGCGCCGCGAATCCCGACGGCCTGACAGAGATGGACAGCGAGGAAGAGGAGGAGGAGCAGGAGCAGCTCGCGGTCGCCACTGCAGGGGCCAGGCGGCAGCCCGCAACGCCACTGCGAGAGCAGCAGCAGTGGCGTGAGGAGGGTGTATCGGATGGGACGGCGCTGGTATCGGACCTGGCCCCGGCAGCGCAGCAGCAGGCTGAGCCCTATTTCAAGGAGGGGCAGAGCACAGAAGGGGCGGCTCTGCCAAGGGGACATCTGACACCCTCACAGCAGCCTTGTGAGCAGCAGCTTGTTCAGCAGCAGGCACGCCAGCAGCAGCAGCAGCAGCAGCAGCAACCGCGGCAGCAGCAACACGCCAATGCGCCTAGGGTGGCCTCCGCGAACGACGCAGGGACACGCGCGGCGCCGACGCAACTTGCGCCACCTCAGGCGCAACCGGAGCAGTGGCAGCAGCTGCAGAGGGAGCAGCAGCGGCAGCTGCAGCAGTGGCAGCAGCAGCTTGAACAGTGGCAGCTGCGGCTGCAGTCGCAGCAGCAGCAGCAGCAGCAGCAGCAGCAGCAGCAGCAGCAGCAGCAGCAGCTTGCTTTGAACAACGCCAGCGCTGCTGCGGTCCTAGCAAGTGAGGGGCGCCAATCGCTTATCCCCACAACGGACAGCATGGCGCACCTGGGCCCGGGTTTTGGCGGCTTCGACGCTGGGAACCTCGGCACGTCGAAACCTAACGGCATGAATGTGTGATTTGAGTGTGGCGCTGCGGCTGTCCTTGTTTTGCTCAATTTATATGACCATTGCAGTAACCACTTCCAAACATGGTGGCGTTCTGGGCAGCACATGGATCCTCAAAAGGATGCTGGGTCGCGCTCAGCTCCAGCCTCTAATCTGTTGCGGCCGAGGGCGGACATCTGTTTTGGCCACACAGCAGCCAGGGTACGG